GGGGGATATGTGAAGGTATTGAGCCTGGACTTGAATAGGAGCAAGGGAGTCGACAGCACGGATGTCTGGGGGAAGAGAGATCCTGAGCTTGGGGGCAGTGGAAAAAAATGAGAATTTGCTTAAGCAGCAGAAACTCTGGAACCGTTTCAACTTCTCCAAGTCTCATCAGCAGAGTTGTGGCCTGTTGAACAAATGCCGCCGAGTGTTAAAAGGCCATCGCACTCAGCGAAGACCATGGTGCCCATTTGGTGCAGTCCAGAAACACGGCACGAGATTAATTACACTCTCCGTCTGCGGTTTGTGCGGTAATAAACCAAGAGCAGGGGGAGTGGTGGCACATAGGGGTTTATTGCATTGCACTATGAAACCGTAGACCTTGGTTAAAATCCTCGTTGTGGCTAACATCGGTGGCGATGCTCCGCGTTTGTCTGGCTAAGTCACTTGCCTTGCTGAATGACTTAGGATCTCTCCCAGAGTGTGGCTGTTATATGCCTAACCAGTTTAACTACGCGATTACCCTTCAATCTGGCTAGATTGCTGCCCAGCTGTCTGCTCAGATGGCCATCTATCATGGATAACCACCCTGCTGTTTGGCTTAGTAAACTGCCAGCTAACTCGCCGACTGACTGCCCAGCTGTCTGATGGAGTGACTGCCCTTCTATCTGGTAGGGTTACTGTCCCACGGTATGCTTGCTCAGCTGCCCCGCCGCCTGTTTGACCACTTGGCGTAGCGCCAGGTGATATCACCTCCACGTTCACCACCGTGCCAGGAGGTCCCGGGGCGCGCACGTCATGAATGAATCATTGTTTGTTTTATCGCATCTCAATTTTTTATTTCTCCATACCATTCTAATTTACGACCAAACTTTATTATACGCGGGTGCTTTTTTGTCTTTTTGGTTTTTTTTTTTGGCCCGTGCGTGTGCAATTTCGCCCTAAATGCAAAATCTCGTCAAATTAGATTACGGGACGCGCCACTCTGCTCAAACTCCACTAACCCGCAGCGCACGACGTGGCGCTTTGCCCACGAGACGTGGCGTGATGCCCAACCGCGAACGGCTGTCGTAAATACACGAAATGCGACGACGTCAATTGGTGCGGCCCACTCTGCGCTAATGCAGACACAGCGTGGCAGCTGCGGTCTATGGCCCAATCACCCGGAATGCACCCACGATCAAGTCAGACCCACCGCAGAAGCTAAGCGGGCTTGAGCCTTTGGTAGTCCGGTGGAACGGTTGTCATTGGACGGCTGCGCGGATGTGCTACGTCGTGGGCATTGGAGCAAAAACAAAACACGGTTTGTTCTGTATTTATATGATCCCACATCCCGCTTCCTTGTTTTTAATCCGGGACTGACCAGCGTGGTGAAGTATAGTCAAGTTACGCTCGCCTGCGACCCACACGGCATGGGGAGGCCCTCGTCGAGCAGTGGATTGGCATGCGAAAACCACAATCGTGTTCAGATCTCGGTCAGGTGTGGACTCAGTCCGTCACCTTTTTTTGGGTCGCTAAATGCCGCACTACTTTGTTGAGAGGAATCAAACTCGGGTCACTGGGGTTCACAATGCAGTTCAGTACGCTGTTGCAAGAACTCCAGCCCACCCTCCCACCCCCCTCCACGAATCATAATTGACCAACGTCCAAATCAACTTTAGTGCACCTGATCTCTTGACACACCTGAGAAGCTAACCTGTGTTGAGCCTGGCTAGATACTTGGATGACAGGCTCCCTGGCACTGACGAGAGCTGTTGTAGGCTGGGGCTGCACGTTGGCCAGATGGCAAGTCGAGCGATGGATTTTAGTTTAAAACTAAACTTTTTTTATTTTACCAAGCAAGACCCACTGAGCTATAAAGCTCTTTTTTTCAGAAACGACCTGGCCCACAAATGACAGCTGAACGAAGTGGCTTGTCATGTGGAAATTTATAGTAGCCAAATTCTCTAAACGCGTGTTGATTCTAAATGTGGAGGGACACAGAAAAATCCACGCGACTGCAGGGAGAAAATGCAAACTCCAAATATACAACAGGCATCAGGGTCGGGATGGAACCTACAACATCCTGTATACTATGCGAGGTAGTTAACATCTTGCCTGCGTGGCACCCAAAACCTCTTGGATGTGGGATGTCCCTAGTTTCCTCCCACATACCCAAAATCCATGGAATTGGCCTATCAACCCAATGCAGGATATCTCTTGAAGACAACATTGAGACCCGAGTAGCCTTCTCTGGTTAAGAGCCATCGTTATTATTGGCCTATGCCACAATTTATCGCTCAACACACATAATTAATAGTGATTGTCGGTTGTGCTTGAGAGATGGTTCTTTCTTGACATTTATAGACAAACGCATGCTAGGCAGGCTGTGTGAGAACCTGCCGTGCAGTAGCTACGTACAATAGAAGTGTCCCAGTTTCTCCCCGTGTGTCCGTGTACCCCCGTGTGTCCTCATGCAGCAGCAATAATGTATCTCAGCGTTTCGCCGTGGGCCGCTCCCTCCCCGTGTGTCTCCAAGTCTCGTGTGTCTTGTCTTCACGTCTCTCCCCGTGTCCCCATGTCTCCCCGAGTATCCCAGTGTCTCCCCGTGTCCCCATGTCTACCCGTGTCTGTATCTCCACGTGTGTCCCCATGTCTCCCTGTGTGTCCCCGTGTCTCTCCGCATGCAGTAGGTAGCTACAGACGACGCGAGATCGTTAGCACCTGCAACTTTCTTGACTTTGTTCGGTTTCAAAAAATGATCCGTAATTTTTGGACGTTTATGTTTTTCCGTCATACGAGTCAGACCTGCAGGTAGTGTCAATAATTTTTTTGCAAACGTTGCAGCAGAACAGACTACCCACCGCAGCCCCCGCTGCGGGTGACCGAATGCGAAAACGGCGACGGAGGGGAAAACGCAGGCACGCGCCTTCGGGAGGAATCACGTTTATTCGGCACACCGTTCCCCTAGCTCAAGGACAAGTTTAATCAGAAACGAGCCGTCAGAAGAAAAAAAATCCCAACCCACTACCGCTGCTCGGTTTAGGAAAGTTGACGGAAACAGCAGTTGTTTAAATCCCACGATGATCCGCGACTCCGCGGAACGTAAAATGTCCTCCAAATTGTTGTGAAAGAGATTGGCTCCCGCACCCCCGACCATGTGTGTTTGCGGCGGTTACCGTGCTGTTGGTCGGCACGATGTCTGTGACGTTTTGTTCCGCAAGCTGCCAGTTTCTTTGGAAACTAGTTGCTGGAGCATCGGAGAGCTGTCCCAGCATGTGCGCGAAAAGCTGTTGACGTATAATGATATAAAAAACAAGAAATAGTTTCGTCACCTTTAGTTAGGTTCGGATAACCCACGCGTATATTTTGATAGTGGGTCAGTTGCTACCAGTACAGTTGTGCATAACCCATGTATGAAAAGCATTTCATGAATACACCAAGACAATTACATGCATACTGTAAATGAAATGTTAAATGTGTTCAGAATAAACAACTTAACGTTGAGTATGGAGGTCGTGCGTGTTGCATAGTCCAACTCCCCTTGCCGTTTTATACGTGGGTGCTTTTGTCATGGTTAGGGTGGGTGCCTGAAACAGCGGTTACCAGATCACACCCACCTACAGCTACATGAAGGTCTTTCCTCTTCGATATCATTGTTTTAATAGAGATTGTTTGGTCACCTTTAAAATATTATTTTCATGCACGAACATCGATTGCCAATCTCGTGAGAAGCCGAGCAGGCCTGAGCCGGGAATTTGCGACCGCCTGGCAATACCACGTGTAGAAGCCTTGGACTGCAGTAATCTTGTCCTAAAGAGTAGCTCTCTCCTGCCACAGGAATGTGGAATGTCCACCACTGGCTCAAGGTTAAGTTTGAGCGGACATGTTGACTTATGGACCACACTCTTTAATGTCCTTTCTTGTAACCAGTATGAAACTTCAACGGTAAAAATGTCGACCTTGTATTCTATAAGTGGGTGGAGTGACAAAATCAGCTCGTGAGCAGGTGGTAAATTGACTGTTGCTTCACAAGATTGTGGCATCTTCATCCAGCTGTGGCCAGATCACTGTTGGTGGTGATATTTACATATTTAAATTTACAAGGTAAAAGCCCACTGAGCTAATAGGTCTTTTCAGACAGCTTACAGAAAGTGACTGATATCATCATCATCACGTGGGGATTTATAGTGGCAGCCAAATCATATCAGCTCAACGCGAGTTCATTCTCAATGCAGAGGAACGCGGAAAACAATCCACGCGATCGTCACGGGGGGAGAGATCACACGGACTCCAAATATACAACAGGGTCCGGGATCGAACCCACAACATGCGTACAAAGGCAAGGGCGATAACTTCTCCCCACCGTGGCGCCCCGATTGATATCGGATGGCGCTGCCTCGACGAAGTTGGCTGCAGCGGCTCCGCTGTTACGAGACACTGATGGCCCTGGCAGGAAGCTCCTAGCTATCTGCTAGGGGATCTGTACTGCCCTCTTCTGAGCCCACCTTGCTCTTGCAGGCTTGTAGAAGAAGTCCACAAGAGAGCCGTTCCTCAACCCCGGAGGAAAGCCTTCCAGGGTGGAGTGGGGGGAGAAGGGGTGGGGGGCAGGCTGCGGCATGGACACCGTGCAGGAAAAGTATCGAATCTCGCGCGGGGAACATCGGCGCCGCTGATACACAAAGTGCAGCACGTGCCTAACACAAGACACCGATAGAGATGTTCAAGCGCACGAGTGGGGTGGGGGGGACATGAGGACCCTGGTCTTGATTGAGGGGCTGCAATACCAAACAGGTTGAGAACCACCGCCCTCGTACCAACCCATCATTGTACGAAAGCTTCAAGCGGTTCGGAGAGATATAGTGGACCCTCCGATAAAGACGACAGAGAGAGAGAGAGAGAGAGCTGAGGCATCAATGCCTTCAATCTATGCAGGAGAGCGCAAACAAAATCACACCCCTCGCACCCACCCATTGATTCTGACACACGTGATTCAATGTATCTGTAATAAACGAATTCCACGACGATTGTTGCAAGAGTGCATCTTTATTAACTGTAGTACTGCACAGCTCCTCTCCTTCCCTCTCCGGGTAATTTCCCTTCTCACAACGCCATGTACGAGGCGTCTCTCTCCGGTCCACCAGCGAGGTTCGTTCCGCTCCCCCCCCCCCCCCCCCCCCCGGTCTTGCCGTTGGCTGGCGGCGCGCCGGAGAGAAGAGGCGAGCTTCACTGGGGACACTCGCCACGTGGTCGGTGGCGAACAGAGGAGATGACGCGCAGCGACGGAGTCCGACCCCAGGCTCCCCACACCGACCACGAGTCCTCCCCTGCGCCCGCTTATATTTTCCCCGGAGGAGCTAGGCTCCGCCTCTAGCCACGCCCCCTCGTGGAACCTTCTCGATGGTTCCCAAAGCATCTCTCTCGACTCCTCCCCGTAACCTTTGGCCCAGATGTTATTCCCTCTTAGGATTGGATGCCGATTACATAATAGTGCCTGTACCCAGTTACCCTCTGGCACCCAATGGATGACGCTCTCTCATTACACATCTACTGGCAGGATAGAACCCGATTTAAAACGGGAGAATCAGTACGAGCCCCCTGCCTAGTCCCACTTGATCCCAAGCAGCTTGCAGCTGAGGGCCCACAGCTTCTGGGCGGCGGCGTCGTCGCTTGCCAGGGATGACACGCTCTTCGGGGCACAGTCGCTGAAACGGAAGCAACACGGACAACGTTGGGAGGTGGCCGGGGTGGCTCAGAGGTCAAGAGTTCAAGCGGCACCGCTGAGATGCGGTGATCCGAATTGACGTTTTGGCCGCCGTCTGTCGTCAAACAAAGGGTTCTCGAGTGCGGCGAGGTTGACGTTTCACCAATGGGTGCACAAAAACACCCATCACATTAGACATGGTTCTGCGCTTAAATTGGCTACATTCCACCTGTATGTATGCATGCAGAACTTCTTTCGCACAGTACGTGGCCAACCGTGCTAAATGGAGGTGCGGGCGTATTAAAGTATCCTCTAGGAATTAAAGTCTCGGTTTGACTGCCATGCACTGAACACTGCTTTCACGTGCAGAGCAGGTGGGTGAGTCAGTGCTGCCGTCTGTTGTGTGGACCGGAGGTCACATGAAGAAGGGGTAGCTCTCTCAAATCTGCGCTGATGTTGGTCATAACCAGGAATCAAACTCGGGGCCCCGCCGGGTTTTCAGCGCAGTGCACTTACCACCACACACACGTACACGCACAATAGTCACCATTCGCCATGAAGTGGCAGTGAAGTCACTCCAGCGCTTGTGCCAGACACACACGTCAACAAACACACCAACGCACACCTGAAGTAGACGCCGGTGACGTTGGCGAGCTCCTCGGCCACGGCGCAGTGGATGCTGGTCTGGGCGCCCTGCGCAGGGGACTTGCTCAACGGCCACAGGATGCGTTGCATGGCGTGCACCACGCCTAAGTGGCGCTGCAGGTCAGTCATCACCGAGCCGGGGTGCAGCGAGTTGACCGTCACGCCCGTGCCTGGCGAAGGAGCGCGAGCGGAGACAGCGGCGGGCAGCTACGGCGAGACGCTTCAACGCGTGTTGTATACATGTGTAATGATTCTAGGACAACTCGAACTGTAGAGGTTTCTTTATTTCTTATTTAGGGCGCTTCACGCAGATAACTTGGTCAAGGATGACAGGCAGATAACTTAGTCAAGGATGACAGGCAGATAACTTGGGCCAGGGATGACAGGCAGATAACTTGGGCCAGGGATGAAGCACATTACTTGGGCCAGGGATGACGCACAGATAACTTGGGCCAGGGATGACGCACAGATAACTTGGGCCACGGATGACGCACAGATAACTTAGGCCAGGGATGAAGCACAGATAACTTGGGCCTTGGATGACAACTTGGGCCAGGGATGACGCGCAGATAACTTGGCCAGGGATGATCCACAGATAACTTGGGCCAGGGATGATGCACAGATAACTTGGGCCAGGGATGACGCACAAATAACTTGGACCAGGAATGGCACGCAAATGGCGACGACGTGAAGACAGTCGACCCCGATCCTACGGCAGCTCCCAACCTCGCCTCTCACCTCCTTTTATTCCCGGCGTGGCCCTCACTCCGCCCCCGGCCACGCCCCCTTTCTCGAACCCTCTAGCCCCTTCCCGAACTTCCCAGATGGATCCCCCTCCGTAATTACCCCTCGTGACGACTGGGCCATGTACTGTTCCTGCACCCGTACTGTCTACAGTGAGGGAAAAAAGTATTTGATCCCCTGCTGATGTTGTACGTTTGCCCACTGACAAAGAAATTATCAGTCTATAATTATAATGGTAGGTTTATTTGAACAGTGAGAGACGGAATAACAACAACAAAATCCAGAAAAACGCATGTCAAAAATGTTATAAATTGATTTGCATTTTAATGAGGGAAATAACTATTTGACCCCCTCTCAATCAGAAAGATTTCTGGCTCCCAGGTGTCTTTTATAGAGGTAACGAGCTGAGATTAGGAGCACACTCTTAAAGGGAGTGCTGCTAATCTCAGCTTGTTACCTGTATAAAAGACACCTGTCCACAGAAGCAATCAATGAATCAATCAGATTCCAAACTCTCCACCATGGCCAAGACCAAAGAGCTCTCCAAGGATGTCAGGGACAAGATTGTAGACCTACACAAGGCTGGAATGGGCTACAAGACCATTGCCAAGCAGCTTGGTGAGAAGGTGACAACAGTTGGTGCGATTATTCGCAAATGGAAGAAACACAAAAGAACTGTCAATCTCCCTCGGCCTGGGGCTCCATGCAAGATCTCACCTCGTGGAGTTGCAATGATCATGAGAACGGTGAGGAATCAGCCCAGAACTACACGGGAGGATCTTGTCAATTATCTCAAGGCAGCTGGGACCATAGTCACCAAGAAAACAATTGGTAACACACTACGCCGTGAAGGACTGAAATCCTGCAGCGCCCGTAAGGTCCCCCTGCTCAAGAAAGTACATATACATGCCCGTCTGAAGTTTGCCAATGAACATCTGAATGATTCAGAGGACAACTGGGTGAAAGTGTTGTGGTCAGATGAGACCAAAATGGAGCTCTTTGGCATCAACTCAACTCGCCGTTAAATTTTGATTTAAAGCTTTCGTGACTGCAGGGATACATATTCTTGGTTCCTTCGGTAAAGTCACGTAGAAGGGAAACAAAATAACAAAAATATAAAACAATACAATTCTCACGACGTTTCGACTGCAACACAAGCAATCATCATGATGATCATCATGATGATCATCATGATGATCATCATGTTTGGGTGCGTTGTTGGGTGGGTGGGGAAATCGTTGGGTAGGTGCTTAGGTGTGGTGCGTGTGGAGATGTAGCTAGATAGGTAGTTCGATAGTCGGGTAGGCATGTGGGTAGACGGGCACTTGGGTGGGCGAGTGAGCGCCTCTGTAGGCGCGTGGGTAGGTAGGCAGGCAGGTAGTTACACAGGGCGGCGGAGGTACCTTTGAGGCGCCGGGCGTGCTCGCGGGTGAACATCACGTTGGCCAGCTTGCTCTGGCAGTAGGCGCCGTGCCGGCTGTAGGAGCGCCGCTCGTAGTTGGGGTCCTCGAAGTCAATGCTGCCGTAAGCGTGTGCGAGGGAGGACACGTTGATGATGCGCGCGGGCGCCGAGCGCTTGATGAGGTCCTCCAGGAGGTGAGTCAGCAGGAAGTGACCTACGCAGGGCACACGTCAACATAGGAGACACGCGTGCATGGGTCGATCGAGACGGCTGGGAGGTTTGGTTCGCGCGGTTGGGGGCGGGTCAGTGTGTGGGCAGGTCGTAGCTGGGTGGATAGGTGGATGCATGCGTGATTTGATAGGTAAGTTGGTGGTAGGTAGGTAGGTAGGTGGGCAGGTAGGGGGATGGTTGGGTGGATGGATAGTAGGTGCATGTTGTGTGTGGGTGGATGGGTTATTTGATAGGTAGGTAGGTAAGGAGGGGGGTGGATTTGTGGATGTGTAGGTTTGTAGGTGATTTGGTAGGTACAGTGACGGAAAAAAGTATTTGATCCCCTGCTGATTTTGTACGTTTGCCCACTGACAAAGAAATGATCAGTCTATAATTTTAATGGTAGGTTTATTTGAACAGTAAGAGACAGAATAACAACAAGAAAATCCAGAAAAACGCATGTCAAAAATCTTATAAATTGATTTGCATTTTAATGAGGGAAATAAGTATTTGACCCCCTCTCAATCAGAAAGATTTCTGGCTCCCAGATGTCTTTTATACAGGTAACGAGCTGAGATTAGGAGCACACTCTTAAAGGGAGTGCTCCTAATCTCAGCTTGTTACCTGTATAAAAGACACCTGTCCACAGAAGTAATCAATCAATCAATCAGATTCCAAACTCTCCACCATGGCCAAGACCAAAGAGCTCTCCAAGGATGTCAGGGACAAGATTGTAGACCTACACAAGGCTGGAATGGGCTACAAGACCATTGCCAAGCAGCTTGGTGAGAAGGTGACAACAGTTGGTGCGACTAAACGCAAATGGAAAAAACACAAAAGAACTGTCAATCTCCCTCGGCCTGGGGCTCCATGCAAGATCTCACCTCGTGGAGTTGCAATGATCATGAGAACGGTGAGGAATCAGCCCAGAACTACACGGGAGGATCTTGTCAATGATCTCAAGGCAGCTGGGACCATAGTCACCAAGAAAACAATTGGTAACACACTACGCCGTGAAGGACTGAAATCCTGCAGCTCCCGCAAGGTCCCCTGCTCAAGAAAGCACATATACATACCCGTCTGAAGTTTGCCAATGAACATTGAATGATTCAGAGGACAACTGGGTGAAAATGTAGTGGTCAGATGAGACCAGAATGTAGCTCTTTGGCATCAACTCAACTCGCCGTGTTTGGAAGAGGAGGAATGCTGCCTATGACCCCAAGAACACCATCCCCACCGTCAAACATGGAGGTGGAAACATCATGCTTTGGGGTGATTTTCTGCTAAGGGGACAGGATAACTTCACCGCATCAAAGGGACAATGGACGGGGCCATGTACCGTCAAATCTTGGGTGAGAACCTCCTTCCCTCAGCCAGGGCATTGAAAATGGGTCGTGGATGGGTATTCCAGCATGACAATGACCCAAAACACACGGCCAAGGCAACAAAGGAGTGGCTCAAGAAGAAGCACATTAAGGTCCTGGAGTGGCCAAGCCAGTCTCCAGACCTAATCCCATAGAAAATCTGTGGAGGGAGCTGAAGGTTTGAGTTGCCAAACGTCAGCCTCGAAACCTTAATGACTTGGAGAAGATCTGCAAAGAGGAGTGGGACAAAATCCCTCCTGAGATGTGTGCAAACCTGGTGGCCAACTACAAAAAACGTCTGACCTCTGTGATTGCCAACAAGGGTTTTGCCACCAAGTACTAAGTCATGTTTTGCAGAGGGGTCAAATACTTATTTCCCTCATTAAAATGCAAATCAATTCATAACATTTTTGGCATGCGTTTTTTCTGGATTTTTGTTGTTGTTATTCTGTCTCTCACTGTTCAAATAAACCTACCATTAAAATTATAGACTGATCATTTCTTTGTCAGTGGGCAAACGTACAAAATCAGCAGGCAATCAAATACTTTTTTCCCTCACTGTAGGTGGGTGGAATAGTGGATGGCCAAGTAGCCAGGGAGATAGGTGAGTGGGTAGATAGGTTATTTTTCAGGTAGTAGGTATGTTTTGTGGGCAAGAAGATCTCTTGAATGTGAAGACTCATTCATAATTTTTCAAAGCATGGTTACATTTTTGCACCTCAGATTAGCGCAGTTGGCTACGTCCGGTGCGAAAGGAGTTCAACAAACACATACAATTAAACACAACTTACATAACTCAATTGCAAGGTCTGGATTGAAAATAAAATTACGTAAAAAGAAAAAATCCCAGCCATTCGTTCCGAACGTGCCGGACGTAACGAATGAGGTTTGTGCAAGCGGAGGCTGCGCCGGAGTCAGGGGCTGACGGGTAGACGGCACCTTACCCAGGTGGTTCACCCCAAACTGCATCTCAAACCCCTCGGTCGTCTTGGAGAAGGGGCACGTCATCACGCCCGCGTTGTTGATCAGAATGTTCAGCTTCTCCTCGTCTGCAGGAAGAAAAAAAAGGAACAACAGCATCAGGCACACTGTGCGAGTTGTATATGTTTTTGTTTCGCCAATTTTATTCCGAATGGGCTAGATCGGTGTCGTGGCGTGAGATTGAGAATCCATTCGGAAACATCTCTTGAGAGCTGTGCAACTATTTGCGTTTGGAGAATGGCCCTGTGAAGTAGACATCACAGATTTACTTCTGAAGGTCGTTCACGTGACCTCTGCTTCACACGGTAAAGGGGTAGATATTTCCCACCTGCTCTACCACTGAGAGTAACGTTCGTTGTACGACGGTCCAACCGATTATTTGTCATTCTCAGAGCTGGAATTTAGCCAAATGAAGGGCAAAACCAAATTTAATGCGCTACGTTTTTCACGACTGCACAATAAAATCACTGATAACGGAACACGCCCGATGGGTTGACAAAATCAGCCTATGTGCAGGTTCCAGATGGATTGTTACAAGGCAGGCCCCGTGACAGATGGCGACGGCTTGTGGAGGCCATCATCCAGCATTGGATTGATCATGGCTCGTAACGACGATTGATAACTGAACTGAGACCATTCACCTAACTCTATTCGAGTGCCTTGTTCAATCACCCATGAACAAAAAAAACTCAGCAGTGTTGATTCAGCATCTCAGACATGGGTATCATGAACGACCAGAGCTAAGGTCTCTTCCCATAGAACCGGCCGGGTTGCTCAGAGGTAGAGCAAGCGGCTTGCAATCCGAAGGTTGCGAATTCAAACCCGGATTGGGTTGTGACTCAGCCATCCATCTGGTATCAATAAAATGAGTGCTGCCATTTTCCAGGCAACCCAACAGTGGTTGTCCTATGGCAGTGTTCTTCACTAATTTTCAAAGGGTAGCCACTTTCGCCGATAAGACATCAGCGCGAGGGCTGATGACACCGCCTGCAAGACAAAATTATTCACATTTGTGTATTATCGGGGGGTCGCACGTTAGGGGCCTCACTAAAAGCCACCAGGGGCCGCCAGTGGCCCGCGGGTCTTGCAATGAAGAACACCGTCCTCTGGAAAGACTCGCCTCCGCCGTACGAATATGGGAGGAGATGTGGGCCGAGAAACCGACCGACTGACCGACCTTTGTTGATGCGCTCGGCAAACTCGCGGATGGAGGCGGCGTTGGACAGGTCCAGCTTGTGCACGAGCACCTGCGGGTTGTGCGTCTCCACGCGGATGCCGACCGCCACCGCGTTGCCCTTTTCCACGTCGCGGCACGCCAGGATGACACGCGCACCTGGCCGACGCGCGCCTGAGTGAGTACGCGAGCGGCGCGGCGGAACGGTCCAGAGAGCCAGCCGAGGCGAGCGAGCGAGCCGTCGGCAAAGTTAAACGAGTGAACAATTTAAAGACAAAAGTCAGAGTGGTGTCCGTACTCGAGGGTCATTGTGATCTATCAGAATCTGAATATTTATTTATACTGGAGTAATCTGATGAGCTATAAAGATGTTTTTCAAAGATGTCTGGTCGATGGCATGTCAGAACGTTATAACATCAAACAATACAGAAACACTATAAGAGTGCAAAGTATAGGCAAGGTAAACAAATCAGTTTAACGCATCGGCTTTCGCGACCAATATCATTCATAATGTAGGTTGTTTTTTTTGGGTTAGATCGCGTAAATATAAATGTGTCGTTAAACCCACCACCACCCAAAACAGCCAATTAGTAAGGTTTGTCACGTCAACAGAACATGCCAATGCGTTACTATCCAGGTGGACAGCCAGAAATCTGCCCAGAAATCTGGCCAGATATCTGGCCAGAAATCTGGCTGTCCGTCTGATGATCCTAGTTGTAATTACTGGCAAAACGTCATACTCAGATTGTAAATGTTGAGTATTTGCTCGCCAACACACCGGTGTGCTGTACTAGTTACGAATTGACACGTTCTGTTTCCGTGACAAACCTTACTAGTTGACTGTGTCGGGTGGTGGCGGGTTTAACGACACTTTTTAACACAATCTAACCCAAAAAAACCTTTATTATGGATGATATTGGTTGCGAAAGTCTATGTGTTAAACGATTTATATTAACATGGCACCTTTTTGTTTGGCCAGTATCAAAGTATCAAAAAAATAAAGAACATTTGTTTTATTGCCAGAAAACACATCACTTAATAATCACTTTAAAATATATACAAATAAAACTAAACTATAACTCAACACTTTGGTCTATAACACTGTCCTTAAAAGGAAACTTAAAAAATGTATGATAGGCAAAGTTTTGGTAATGGCTCTTCTTTATAGCTTTGAAGAACGTGTTGAGTTGTTGTTATTTGCGCTGACGCACCACTGTCAATGGTATATCACATATCTTTCACGTAAAACTAGGATTAAATGTGTTCCATTAAATTACTAACATTACCATTGGTAATATTAGAAAATAAGAATTTGCTGACCAATGTCAATCCAGATGAATATTTTTTTAAACCACTTTCATCCCCTGACATGTTGAAGTTCTCTGGGCATAGCAATAGATTCTGCAACGTATCCTGAGCCATGCTACTACAAGGCGCCATAGACCGAACTAGGACAAGCATTGTTAATTTGCATTCCGGATAATCTGCCAAAGGAGAACTCAGAATTAACTACGTTCGAGAACAAACGATGAATTATTCCCCACCTCGTTTGGCCAGATCAAGGGCGGTTTCTTTGCCAATGCCGGTGTTGGCGCCAGTTATGATCACTGTCTTGCCGTTGAGTTGAGCCTTGCTGGTGCAAATGCCACCTGAAAAGTATCGCCTGAAACACAAATGAGGCAGCCTTACAGTTACAATTTAAAGACAAAAGTTAGAGTGATTTTCTCATCTCCCACTTACAGCCCTGTTGCTTTTGCTGGAAATTCCTCATTCCTACTGAGGGCAATGAGTCTATCCATAGGCCAACCGCAGTTGGCATCCACAAAAAGTGGTGTCCATTTTTTCTTATTGACGTCAGAAAGTTGAACGGGCAGAGTCGACCCCCAAGTGGGACTTCAACTCGCGACCTTCCGATACGCAAGCCTCCCTCTACCACTGAGCCAAGAACGTACAAATCCTAATTATGCCTGGGTGAGGGCCTCTCCACACCGGGCGTGGGGGGGGGGATCATGGGACTTACTTGACCATACTCATCGTACCATACCATCATTGTGCTACATTTGAGAGGCTCAGTTCAGACACTGGTGGCTTGAATATTAACCCTGGGACTCAAGCTACGTCCGATTAGCGTGACACATTGCCATGTGAGGCCTTGTTGTGAATGGCGCAATATAAACCCCGAGTTTGACTTACTGACACGTCCAGCCCTTATTGTCAATAAAGTGCTGGCTCAGAAGCGGCAGCCTCCATCCACGCCGTTGCGGTCAGTGCAGGTTTTGACGGCGGGGAGCATTAGACGTGGTGAGCACAGAAGTAGAGTACAACAATGGATGTTTGCGCGCACTGCCCTCTTGTGGGCCATCGCTCGTAGCGCCCGTAGCAGCCGATCACAATCTGTCACCGTGGACGGGGGTCGACCATACCAGGCACATCCCAGGCTCAATCGGTGCTCATTGGCTCTAAAGATCTAGCACATTCCTGGCGATTTGGTCAAAGGCCTGTCGGTGTGTTTATTCGTGCGGTTACGCTTGTTTAAGCCAGGATTGCATCACCGAGTCCAGCGATACTTCATCGAGCATGGGGTGGCGATGATTTCTACAATCGCCTGCTAACTGATGATGAAAACGCAGTGTCATTGTTTCTGGTGAGACGCTGAATGTCAAAACCGGTCCAGAGTTTTTGTGTTTTCCCAGTGTCCTTGTTTCTCATGAGACTCTGAATGTCAAACCGGTCCAGAGTTTTGGGTTTTTGTTGTTGCTTGTGTTGAACCACAATGATGCTGCTGCTGAAATGGTCCGCCACCAGAATTCGAATTCCGTGTGGCTGATGGAATGTGTACAAAATATGTTCGTACTTCTTGTGTTGTGTGTGAGAAGGCCTGAGTTTCTTACTTTCTCTCTCACCGACCCGACCATTCACTCATAAAACTGTCACACGCAGTCTTCCTGGAACTCTTCGCTGACTCTGTAATGTCATAAAATGTCAGCCCTTTGTCAAACAACTGCTGGATAAAGACCTATTTCGTGGCGTTTGTGTGCCCTGAAATGCCCTCGGCAACCAGAATTTGATTCGTGGCCAACGGCTAACATCAGTGGCGAGCAATCGGATCTGATCGTCATCTCCGCGCACATGCCAGCGTGATGAGAGATATGGTCAAACAATCGTCACGTGTGTATGTTAGTATATTATGGATAAGATGTACGTTGAACTTCTTTCGGCACCGTACGTCGCCGACCGTGCTGTGCTAATCTCTGAAAGGTTGCGGCGGGGAGGCGGGGGGGGGAGAAGACATTCATCCAGCAGTGGATTGAACAAAGGGCAGGGCTTGTCACCTATTGCACGAATTATAGAGCAACAGCGCTGAAGTGTTGAAGGCAGTGTGCGATAGGTTCGTTAGTTTACGAGTGAACGGTCATGCGGGCGGGACTGACATTGTCGTGACGTTGCAGTTTGTACGTTCTGTCAAAGTGCACCACCACGGACGTGGCCTGCCCGAGGGAAAAATAAAAAGGCCCCTTCGCAATTCGCCCGATCTCGTGGCGAATGATGAAAGCCAAGCCCCAGGCTGCTGCGAGGCGACGTCGTACGAGGCGGGCAGCGGAGAGGCAAATCCATTTGGTTGGTAGATGTCAGCGTGCGAAAAAGCACATGCTGCCCCCCCCAGTGCTGCCCCCCCCAGTGCTGCCCCCCCAGTGCTGCCCCCCCGTGCTGCCCCTCCTGTGCTGCCCCCCCAGTGCTGCCCCCCCCCGTGCTGCCCCCCCCAGTGCTGCCCCCCCAGTGCTGCCCCCCCAGTGCTGCCCCCCCCAGTGCTGCCCCCCCAGTGCTGCCCCCCGTGCTGCCCCCCCAGTGCTGCCCCCCACCCCCAGTGCTGCCCCCCCGTGCTGCCCCCCCCAGTGCTGCCCCCCACCACCCAGTGCTGCCGCCCCCCCCCCAGTGCTGCCCCCCCCAGTGCTGCCCCCCCCAGTGCTGCCCTCCCCCCCCAGTGCTGCCCCCCCAGTGCTGCCCTCCCCCCCCCCCAGTGCTGCCCCCCCCACAGTGCTGCCCCCCCCAGTGCTGCCCCCCCAGTGCTGCCCTCCCCCCCCCCCAGTGCTGCCCCCCCCCAGTGCTGCCCTCCCCCCCCAGTGCTGCCCCCCCCCAGTGCTGCCCCCCCAGTGCTGCCCTCCCCCCCCCCAGTGCTGCCCCCCCCAGTGCTGCCCTCCCCACCCCAGTGCCTGCCCCCCCCCCAGTGCTGCCCCCCCCCCAGTGCTGCCCCCCCGTGCTGCCCCCCCCCCACAGTGCTGCCCCCCCAGTGCTGCCCCCCCCCAGTGCTGCCCCCCCGTGCTGCCCCCCCCATTGCTGCCCCCCCAGTGCTGCCCCCCCCAGTGCTGCCCCCCCCAGTGCTGCCCCCCCAGTGCTGCCCCCCCCAGTGCTGCCCCCCCCCACAGTGCTGCCCCCCCCAGTGCTGCCCCCCCCAGTGCTGCCCCCCCCCCCCAGTGCTGCCTTCCCCCCCCAGTGCTGCCCGCGTGGCTGAAGTGTGTTCGAATAACAAAACACCGTTCACGTCCACCCCCTGTCGACGACCACGCGCGGCCTAGGCAGGCGCTCGTGGCGAGGCAGCGATAACCACGGCACCACCGACTCCGCCTCCCCCACGCTCAATGCGTTGACGAACGCACACGTCGAATGCGAATCCACGTTCGAAAAGCCTTGCTCGCTCGAACATCGACGCATTTATTTCGATGCAAATTTTAACCGCGGTAAGCTGTGAGCAGCAGCAGCAGCGTTGGGGGAGAGGAGGAGGGGGGGTAGCGGTGGCGCAGAGGGTTTGCGGAACCCGCGCGCAACCACGCCGAGTCCCCCGGTGTTTCCACGCGAACTTGAGCCGTCTGGTGGCATCTGAATTAGTTCTTCTAACCTCCCCCAACCCGACACCTGTCTGGTGAAGAAGCATGGCCAAGCCAAACAAAGTGATGACTGCAACGGGCAGCCGCGGCACGACAGGACGCGTTCATCGTCCAGCGGTGGATCGACCCCACAATGCGCGCGCGTCTCGCGTGGAACAGGCGACGAGTGAAGTGGTGAACGCGTCCGGTTGCAGAGCCGTTACCGTATGCGAGGGCCGAGGATGGCGAGAAACAGAGCCGGTGGCACGATGGCATACACAATTGTCCACGCGTCCATCGTTGCAGAGTGTGGTGGTGGTGGTGGGGGCCGCCACGGACGATGATTCTCTTCCAGTTATTCCGAGGCGCGCGCTGTATACAAACCGTTCGGTATTTGTGAGTTGTGTGTCTGAGTGTGTTGGGGGGGGGGGGGTTTGTTTGAACAGTTCAAACTCGCGAAGTGCAGGGCCGCGAAATGTCCCAACTCACTCGGGGTGTGTGCGTGTTGGGGGGAGTTATTGTGTGTATCAAGACGAGGGGCGATTGCCTTTCGCAATGGCACGCGCGCAGAATGCGGAAATGATCTGAAACACTCAGGTTGGGTTGCAAGGAGGTCGGGTCCTGCTGAATCCAGAGCTCTCTCTCTCTCTCCTTCTCTCCCCTTCTCTCCCTGCCGCCGGTGTCAGGAACGTGTCGGCAGTGTGGCGATGGTTGATGGGTCGCCGATTTGTTTCTCAGAAGAATGAATAAGTTGACTTCCCGAGTGAAGTACATTGAGCAAATCGAGTTGTGCGCGTTGCAATTTGCTATTTGTATCATTACAGTATTATTATTATTGAGTCTTCTTCTTTCGTGTGGTTGATGTAGATGCAGAGCAACAACTTCAATTTCACATGCAGGTGGTGCCAGATAACCGAATGTTCTTCCTTCGAAATATATCCTCCTGGTCTGAAGTCAATTCAGATCTACAGTCATCATCGCTGCCTGCAATGGCAATAAAGTGAGAACCATTACGTGCTATGTCAGCAGTGGGTGGATGTTGTGTGGACAGCGGCATTTCTGTGCTCTCACTGGTCCTCCCAACAAGTGAACGAGTGTTGTGAACGTGACGGCTCCGCGTCTTATAGCAGAACAATAAAAAAAAAACATTTTAAAAGGGTACGTTTTGGTGGGAGACGTCGATGCATTGGATTAGAAATGTGGCTTTCTCTAATGCCACCCTCTGAATGTTTGTTTTAGTGGGGGTATCGCAACAGAATTATAATTGAATTAAATGCTCTAGCCATTTGGGAGGCTGAGCTGGTGGTTCATTATGGCCGTGGCTAGGAAACAAACTTAAACAATCCTGGGTCATAGTGCAGTGTGCCATACACAATTTGCTTACTGTATTCGGGTGGTGTGGGGTTAAACTGACTCACTTACACACGACCTGCAGGTGTCGCTGTTACTCATTATTTCAAACTGTTTAGTCATTTAACAATCTCCTTAAAAAATAGAGGTAGCCTGGTACCTCTGAGGTCAGAAGTCAGAGCGCTGAACTGGAACACTTGAAAATCTGGGCTCAAATCCAGGCAGCTGCCTATGAAAAAAACTGTGTTCTCAAGCGTAAACTAAACTATGTTTTTTTATTTTACCAGCTCTTTTTCAGAAGCAACCTGGCCACAAATGATAACCCAATGAAGTAGCTTATCATATGGAAATTTAAAGCAGCCAAATACTCCAAACGCGTGTTGATTCTAAATGTGGAGGGAAAAACAGGAGGACCCGGATAAAATCCACGCTTCCACGGGGAGAACACAAACTCCAAATATACAGCAGGCGTCAGGGTCTTGATCGAACCCACGACCTCCTGTATACCAGACGAGGTAGTTAACATCTCCCGGCCACCGCAGCGTCCGACGTGTAGTAAGTTGACCGTCTATGCCCAGTCACCAACGACGACACAGATCAATTGTCACGTTTTGCTTCTGCACCTGATTGGGGATAAATTCCAGTGATGAATCATGCTCTCAGTGACAGAGCAGAAGTCCGTTTCTGTTGGTTATTCTCCAAAATGCAGGTACAGCCTGGCTCTGTGAAGATAATCAAATGGAGTCTTTGTCATTGGTATGGATAAGATGTGTAAATCCAACTGCTGGATGTCGGGTACGAGTGAACGCTCTCAGTGAACACGAGACACAGAGACTCACACAGTGAACACGAGACACAGAGACTCACACAGTGGACATGTGACACAGAGACTCACACAGTGGACACGAGACCCTGAGACCCACACAGTGGACACGAGACACAGAGACTCACACAGTGGACACGAGACACAGAGAATCACACAGTGGACACGAGGCACAGAGACTCACACAGTGGACACGAGACACAGAGACTCACACAGTGGACACAAGGCACAGAGACTCACACAGTGGACACGAGACACAGAGACACAGTGGACACGAGACACAGAGACACAGTGGACACGAGACACAGAGACTCACAGTGAACACGAGACACAGAGACTCACACAGTGGACGCGAGACACAGAGACTCACACAGTGGACACGAGACACAGAGACTCACACAGTGGACACGAGGCACAGAGACACAGTGGACACGAGACACAGAGACTCACAGTGAACACGAGACACAGATACTCACACAGTGGACACGAGACACAGAGACTCACACAGTGGACACGAGACACAGAGACTCACACAGTGGACACGAGACACAGAGACTCACACAGTGGACACGAGACACAGAGACTCACACAGTGGACACGAGACACAGAGACTCACACAGTGGACACGAGACACAGAGACTCACACAGTGGACACGAGGCACAGAGACACAGTGGACACGAGACACAGAGACTCACAGTGAACACGAGACACAGAGACTCACACAGTGGACACGAGACACAGAGACTCACACAGTGGACACGAGACACAGAGACTCACACAGTGGACACGAGACACAGAGACTCACACAGTGGACACGAGACACAGAGACTCACACAGTGGACACGAGACACAGAGACTCACACAGTGGACACGAGGCACAGAGACTCACACAGTGAACACGAGACATAGAGGTTCACACAGTGAACACGAGCACCAGAGACTCACACAGTGGACACGAGACACAGAGACTCACACAGTGGACACGAGACAGAGACTCACACAGTGGACACGAGACCCAGAGACTCACACAGTGGACACGAGACACAGACTTACACAGTGAACACGAGACAGAGAGACTCACAAAGTGGACACGAGACAGAGACTCACACAGTGGACACGAGACACAGAGACTCACACAGTGGACACGAGACACAGAGACTCACACAGTGGACACGAGACACAGACTTACACAGTGAACACGAGACACAGAGACTCACACAGTGGACACGAGACATAGAGACTCACACAGTGGACACGAGACCCAGAAACGCACACAGTGGACACGAGACACACAGACTCACACAGTGGACACGAGACACAGAGACTCACACAGTGAGCACGAGACAGAGACTCACACAGTGGACACGAGACACAGAGACTCATACAGTGGACACGAGACCCAGAGACTCACACAGTGGACACGAGGCACAGAGACTCACACAGTGAACACGAGACACAGAGACTCACACAGTGGACACGAGACACAGAGACACAGTGGACACGAGACACAGAGACTCACACAGTGGATAAGAGACACAGAGACTCACACAGTGGACACGAGACACAGAAACTCACACAGTGGACACGAGACAAAGAGACTCACACAGTGAACACGAGACACAGAGACTCACACAGTGAACACGAGACACAGCGACTCACACAGTGGACACGAGACACAGAGACTCACACAGTGGACACGAGACACAGAGACTCACACAGTGGACACGAGACAGAGACTCACACAGTGGACACGAGACACAGAGACTCACACAGTGGACACGAGACACAGAGACTCACACAGTGGACACGAGACCCAGAGACTCACACAGTGGACACGAGACACAGAGACTCACACAGTGGACACGAGACACAGAGACCCACACAGTGGATACGAGACACAGAGACTCACACAGTGAACACGAGACACAGAGACTCACACAGTGGACACGAGACCCAGAGACTCACACAGTGGACACGAGACACAGAGACTCACACAGTGGACACGAGACCCAGAGACTCACACAGTGGACACGAGACACAGAGACTCACACAGTGGACACAAGACACAGAAACTCACACAGTGGACACGAGACCCAGAGACTCACACAGTGGACACAAGACAAAAACTCACACAGTGGACACGAGACCTAGAGACTCACACAGTGGACACGAGACACAGAGACTCACACAGTGGACACGAGACACAGAGACTCACACAGTGGACACGAGACACAGAGACTCACAAAGTGGACATGAGACACAGAGACTCACACAGTGGACATGAGACACAGAGACTCACACAGTGGACACGAGACACAGAGACTCACACAGTGGACACGAGACCCAGAGACTCACACAGTGGACACGAGACACAGAGACTCACACAGTGAACACGAGACACAGAGACTCACACAGTGGACACTAGACACAGAGACTCATACAGTGGACTTGAGGCACAGAGACTCACACAGTGGACACGAGACACAGAGACTTACACAGTGAACACGAGACACAGAGACTCACACAGTGGACACGAGACACAGAGACTCACATAGTGGACACGAGACCCAGAGACTCACACAGTGGACACGAGACACAGAGACTCACACAGTGGACACGAGACCCTGAGACTCACACAGTGGACACGAGACACAGAGACTCACACAGTGGACACGAAACACAGAGACTCACACAGTGGACACGAGACACAGAGACTCACACAGTGGACACGAGACACAGAGACTCACACCGGGACCCATATGCTCGCAGTGGACATGAGTTCACAATGCGTCCCACTGTTGTATTTGGGTGATTTTTTTTACTTATAATTATGGATTCACAAGGTGGATTATTTGTCTCATGACATGATACCATTTGGGGAAAACTAAACTATTTCATTTAGCAAGTAAGGACCAATGAGCTATTACAGTGAGGGAAAAAAGTATTTGATCGCCTGCTGATTTTGTACGTTTGCCCACTGACAAAGAAATGATCAGTATATAATTTTAATGGTAGGTTTATTTGAACAGTGAGAGACAGAATAACAACAATAAAATCCAGAAAAACGCATGTCAAAAATGTTATAAATTGATTAGCATTTTAATGAGGGAAATAAGTATTTGACCCCTCTGCAAAACATAACTTAGTACTTGGTGGCAAAACCTTTGTTGGCAATCACAGAGGTCAAACGTTTCTTGTAGTTGGCCACCAGGTTTGCACACATCTCAGGAGGGATTTTGTCCCACTCCTCTTTGCAGACCTTCTCCAAGTCATTAAGGTTTCGAGGCTGACGTTGGGCAACTCGAACCTTCAGCTCCCTCCACAGATTTTCTATGGGATTAAGGTCTGGAGACTGGCTAGGCCACTCCAGGACCTTAATGTACTTTTTCTTGAGCCACTCCTTTGTTGCCTTGGCCGTGTGTTTTGGGTCATTGTCATGCTAAAATACCCATCCACAACCTATTTTCAATGCACTGGCTGAGGGAAGGAGGTTCTCACCCACGATTTGACGGTACATGGCCCCGTCCATCGTCCCTTTGATGCGGTGAAGTTGTTCTGTCCCCTTAGCAGAAAATCACCCCAAAGCATGATGTTTCCACCTCCATGTTTGGCGGTGGGGATGGTGTTCTTGGGGTCGTAGGCAGCATTCCTCCTCCAAACATATGCGAGTTGAGTTGATGCCAAAGAGCTCCATTTTGGTCTCATCTGACCACAACACTTTCACCCAGTTGTCCTCTGAATCATTCAGATGTTCATTAGCAAACTTTAGACGGGCATGTATATGTGCTTTCTTGAGCAGGGGAACTTCGCGGGCGCTGCAGGATTTCAGTCCTTCATGGCGTAATGTGTTACCAATTGTTTTCTTGGTGACTATCGTTCCAGCTGTCTTGAGATCATTGACAAGATCCTCCCGTGTAGTTCTGGGCTGATTCCTCACCGTTCTCATGATCATTGCAACTCCACGAGGTCAGATCTTGCATGGAGCCCCAGGCCGAGGGAGATTGACAGTTCTTTTGTGTTTTTTCCATTTGCGTTTAGTCGCACCAACTGTTGTCACCTTCTCACCAAGCTGCTTGGCAATGGTCTTGTAGCCCATTCCAGCCTTGTGTAGGTCTACAATCTTGTCCCTGACATCCTTGGAGAGCTCTTTGGTCTTGGCCATTGTGGAGAGTTTAGAATCTGATTGATTGCTTCTGTGGACAGGTATCTTTTATACAGGTAACAAGCTGAGATTAGCAGCACTCCCTTTAAGAGTGTGCTCCTAATCTCAGCTCGTTACCTGTATAAAAGACACGTGGGAGCCAGAAATCTTTCTGATTGAGAGGGAGTCAAATACTTATTTCCCTCATTAAAAAGCAAATCAATTTATAACATTTTTGACATGCGTTTTTCTGGATTTTTGTTGTTATTCTGTCTCTCACTGTTCAAATAAACCTACCATTAAAATTACAGACTGATCATTTCTTTGTCAGTGGGCAAACGTACAAAATCAGCAGGGGATCAAATACTTTATTCCCTCACTGTAGCTCTTTTTCCGATAGCTCATCGACGCGGCTTATCATCCATCACGTGCAGGAATTTATAGTCGCAGCCACATACTCTAGACGCGTGTTTCTTGATGTGGATGAAAATCCACGAGACCACCACGGGGATAGAACACGCGACGTCCAAATACACAACAGGTATTGCCAGGGTCCGGGATCGAACCCATGGCTCCCTGCGTACCAGGCTAGGGAGATAACTTATACTGGTAGGAACCTCCTGGTTCCACCAGCCCACATGGGATTATTGTGTCCGTTCGTCCGTCGTGCATCCAAAAATGGGAGGGGTGGGGTTGGGTGGAGAGAGGAGGGTGGGGAGGGGCTGGGTGGGGAGGGGCTGGGTGGGGGGTGGGGAGGGTGGGGCTGGGTGGGGAGAGGCTGGGTGGGGAGGGGCTGGGTGGGGAGGGGCTGGGTAGGGGGTGGGAGGGGTGGGGCTGGTGGGGAGGGGCTGGGTGGGGGGTGGGGAGGGTGGGGCTGGGTGGGGGGTGGGAGGGGTGGGGCTGGTCACCCCGTGGTGCCCTTATAAAACTCAACGTTTAACCTACTCACGCCGGCTCGTGCCCGCCCTCACAGTCGGGCATATTTGCGGAATACACCACGTGGTGCCGCCGTTGACCCTGGCCATTGACCGAGCAACCCAACGTTCCTACCAGCTCCCTCCGCAGGAATGTGTTTTTCGCACCGAAACACAGCAAGTTGATCGACAAAAGGCCGTTCAAATACATTATACTACAGCACACGGACGATTTTAACCCCCCCTCGTCACACGGCGTCACAATAAGTCAGACCCCCCTCAAATATGACGTCACAAAGCTCTGCCCAACCCCCCCCCCCCTCAAAACTAAAACATGCTTAAAATCGCTTTAAACTATTGTCATTGTAGTGCGTATTTAATGTGCCGCTGCACTCAGATGTTGTAGGAGAAAGCATTTATTTAAAAGGTATATTTAATTAAATAGAACGTGTTGTCTAGTTGTCTATGTTTATGTAAAGTTGCGCATTTTGATGTGACGTCACATTTCTCACCCCACCCCCCTCCTCGTCACACATCGTCACAAATGTCTGACCCCCCCCCCCCCCGCCCTAGTGTGCAGTCGAGAGGTAAGAGTGGAGAATAAACGCGTTGGAGACTGCGGATGATGAGAATTACTTTTTTTAATGTATTCCGATAACCAGACTTTAAATTGGCGAATGAACAGTTACGCGAGTAGTAGACAACCTTTTTAAAAAATTACGAAATATATATCACTATTAAATACATTCTAGTTGACTTAAAACACGCAAGGATGCCTTCTTTAACTTTGTGCACAGCTGTAACACGTGGTCGAATCAAAACAATGACGTAATGCTCAACGCGATTGGCCGCCGCCTCGTATACATTGGGTAGTGACGTCAACGCCCCCCAAGCCCCCCCCCAAGGCCCCCCAACCCCACCCCAAGCCCCCCCAACACCCCCTCCCCAAGGCCCCCCAACCCCACCCCAAGCCCCCCCAACACCCCCTCCCCAAGGCCCCCCAACCCCACCCCAAGCCCCCCCAACACCCCCTCCCCAAGGCCCCCCAACCCCCCCCCATGCCCCAAACCCCCCAAGGCCCCCCCCCCCCAACATCCCCCGCCAAGGCCCCCCCCCCACCCCTTGCGTTCCTGTGACCAATAGGCGAGCGAGAACCTCGGCAGTGGGCGCGCGGTGTCTCGTCTTCCAGAAGCGGTGGGCAGAGTTTGTATGGTGGGGAGGGGGACACAATAGGATTCATCTTCCTATTCATCTTCTTGGTTCTTTCGGTAATGTCACGTAGATAGAAAATAAAAAAATATAAAATTACAATTAAAAATAGATTGAAAATAATAAAATAAAATAAACCCACAATAAAAATAAAAAATGTTTTAATAAAATTTCCATCTTCCTCTTCCGGAAGATACACCACTTAATGGGGTGGAGGGGGGGGTTCTACGTATTCCGGAAGATGTTTAAAAACGCGAGCACGTCTTCCGGAAGATAGGATCGCGTTACTGCTCTGCATAGGGGCGTCGCAGTATCGGTGGGGTCGGCGTTGAGCAGCAGCAGCAAGAGGATTTGAATTGTCTGGTAAAATAATAATCATCACAATTGTAGCCGGCAAATTAATCACAAAACTCGGGGGATGATGAAGGAGGAGGCTCGTAACATGGCCGCGCCGCTCGCTCACTTCGACGAAGATTGGCAAGATCTTTATGAGCTCCGCATGTCTCCTGCGAGAGGCTGCGAGCGCAAGGCTGAACCGTGGAATTCGGATCTCAACGTGACATCCTCATCCCCTCATCAGCAGCAGCCACCACCACCTCAACATCTTCCACCGACATCATCGTCATTTAGTCCGGCAGCCGCTGTTGCTGCTGTTGCTGTGGGTGCTGCTAATGCGTCCGAGGTGTTTGGAGATGTTGTCACCGCTAGAATGTTGACGTCTACATCGTCTTCGTATAATATCTCCAGTGCAACAACCGCCACCACCAACAACATCGGTAGCAGCAACAGCGGCCACGTCGTCACGTCCAACACCATCATCAACGGCACCATCAACATCAGCACCACCGCCGCCAATGCCACCAACAACATCGCCAAAATCACGACCACCGCCACCACCAACAACATCGCCAAAATCACGACCACCGCCACCACCAACACCACATCGGCCGCGAAGGCATTGGCGGCGTCGTCTACCGATAATTTGGAAGACCTCGCCGACCTGGAGAGCTTCTCGGGCGAGATCGTGAGCTTCAAGTCCATGGAGGACCTGGTGAACGACTTTGACGAGAAGCTGACGGTGTGTTTCCGCAACTTCGACACGGACACGGGCTACATCGCGCCTGTCGTGCCGCTCGCCGAGCAGGGCTTGCTCAAGGACGACGAGTGAGTACCCCCACGTGGAGCACACGGGTGGTGGTATTGGTGGTGGTATTGGTGGTGGTGGAGGAAACTATGTTGATGGTGTGGACGAGGTGGTAGTGATGGGGTTGGTGGTCGTGATGGAGGTGTTGGTGAGGGTGGTGTTGGCTGAGGTGATGGTAGTGATAGTGATGATGGTGGTGGAGGAGGAGGAAACGATGTTGATGGTGGACGAGGTGGTAGTGATGGTGTTGGTGGTCGTGATGCAGGTGTTGGTGAGGGTGGTGTTGGTGATGATGGTGGTGGAGGAGGAGGAAACGATGTTGATGGTGGACGAGGTGGTAGTGATGGTGTTGGTGGTCGTGATGCAGGTGTTGGTGAGGGTGGTGTTGGTGATGATGGTATTGGTGGTGGAGGAAACGATGTTCATTGTGGACGAGGTGGTAGTGATGGTGTTGGTGGTCGTGATGCAGGTGTTGGTGAGGGTGGTGTTGGCTGAAGTGATGGTAGTGATAATGATTATGGTGGACGTGGTGGTAGTGATGATGTTGGTTGAGGTGTTGGTGGAGGTGATGGTGATGATAGTTTTGGTGGAGGAAACGGTGTTGATGGTGATCGTGATGGTGTTGGTGGAGGAGGTGATGATGGTATTGGTGTAGATGGTGGTGGAGGAAACGATGTTGGTGGTGGTAGTGATGGTGTTGGTGGAGGAGGTGATGATGGTATTGGTGGAGATGGTGGTGGAGGAGGAAACGGGGTTGATGTTGATGGTGGACGTGGTGGTAGTGTTGGTGGAGGAGGTTGTTGGATGTAGGGATGGAGGTGTTGGTGGCAATGATGGAGGTCAGGGGATATTGGTATTGGTGGTTGTGGTGGTAAATGTAGGGGAGTGGTAGTGTCGCAATTAGTGCGTTGCCCTACGAACCTGCCTACCCGGGTTCGATTCCTGATTACGGCCAACAGCAATGACGTTTATCTGAACCCGTTATGGGCCTCCCCTGGGTCGACTCAGCCTCAAATTAGTACCTGATGCGGTGTGTAATATATCAGCACTGGGGAGACAAAGGCGGCCGGGCGTGGTGCTGGCCACCCACCCCCTCGTCTGCTGTGGCGGCCTTCATAGGTGTTACTCGCTAACAGCTCTTGCCCCAACATTCTGTTTAAGGCTATACGGGGGATCTTTGGTGGTGATTGATGGTCGTGGAGATGTAAGGGGGTGGTGGTGCTGGTGGAGTCGGTGGTCGATATCTCTATTATTACAACAATAATTAGTTATAGTTCTGTCAATCTACTTCGAGACGAATGCTTTCCCAACACCGCACCGTTCTTTTTAACTACACTTCACTACGCTGGTCAGCTCAAGGTTGGTGAAGGGTGGTGGTCTGGGACGGGATCAGACGTCATTCGCCACTGACGGTAGCCGTGGGCCGGGAATAGAACGTTACGCCCTATACTTGAACTTGAATAATTATCAGTGATGCTTTCCCAAATATATAAATAAAGTGTATTGTAAATGACAGCATGGTCGAGGCTAACGACTGATCGGCAGCCAAACGAGGGAGTACACTCAAGAGGACGTTCTACCGTGGCGGTGGAGCAATGAAATCAGCTAGTGTGCAAACGCTAGCTTGATAGTCGCTATGGATAGATCTTGGCTCAATTATTAAATGTCAAGAATATGGCTGTTCCATTGCAGTCTTTAGCTGGGCGTGGCTTGCTGATGAGCCTTTGTCAGGGCTGAACTCTCCCATACCTCCCATGCCACGGACTGCCAGATGCCTGTCTGGAGGACGCTGCCTGTCAAAAGGTTCGCCATAGTTCTGTATATTTATTTGGTGGTCATGCATTGACTTTGTAAGTTACTTTTTGCTGGATTAAGTGTTTCTTTATTTGCATTAAACGGTTGTGAAAGTTCACCCGGGATCAAAAAGTTTCGCCGTTTTTTACCAATCAAATCTCACTGCAGAATGGGGCAAATATTTTAACATCATTATTTTATTTCCCAAATAGTGCATTTGTTAATGCTAAGGGAGGAGACATTTGTGTTTTTGTTGTAGAAGTGAGATGATGGCACAGTGGTTAGCTCATTATGCTTTGAACCTGGCACCCTGAGTTCGATTCTTACCCCGCTGTCTTCACCAATCCATAGTGTGATGAAGTATGTTGGAACACACACACCCCCAGTGACTGAACAGCATATGGACGTGCTCTTTGGACGACTTCATCCAGCAGTGGGCTGACGAAGGGTTGCACATGAATATTACAGTTATATTGCAGCAGACCTGGTGTCAATTAGAAATACAATTACAGGAGCGGTGTTAGCTGAAATTTTCATTGCATTATGATTGAAATTAAGAATTGCACATTTACAGTTGTGGTTGGTCCCACATCTGTAGTGGAATAATTCCTTCTACATGTTACTGTAAGCGTGGTGATTTGTCTGTATACAAAATTATTCATTCACCCATGACCCTTCCACTGTACATTTCATACACAACAGTAGCTAATAATAATATCCACTCTTGCCTCCGGAAAAATTAAGATGCTGCCACTTACATTTTGTCTATAAGGCTATTAGGAAACAGCAATTCATGTGTGTGAGCCATTGCACATCATGAATTGTGCAATCACACAAATTACATTGGACCATGCAACGGTGGTTCCATCGAGTTTTAATGTGTACGTAAATCAAGTCCTCAAATTAGGAGCAGGGCCTATTTTTAGGAAATGTTGTCGAACTAACCATCGGCCTCTGCCACGCAACACAGCACTTTCAATCCAGACGTCGTTGGTTCGATTCCATGTTCCGGGTGTGGCAGTTGAAACAATGAGAGCAAGCTTATTGAATCCCCCTCCCAGCGGCATGCCAGAATGTGAAATTGTAGTTGGTGCTCTGCATCTACATCAGCCATACGAAAGAAGAAGAGGAATGGCATGCCAGAAGGAAAATGAGCAATTGAATATATTCTCTGTTTTGTCTGCAACGGCAAGTGGGCACACTACTTACACTTGAAAAGTGACCGCACATTCTATGCAATGAATGATCGATGTTTCCTATGCAATGGAGCTTTAAAATTGTCTATCGCTTAAACACACGTACCTTCTTTTAGCAGGTTTCCAGCTCACTCAAATTTGTTTCCAAAAATATTGTTTCTTGTATTGTAAACAGGTTTAGAAATTCGGTTAGATATATTATAGTTACGCCTGTGGGTCACTAAAAGGTTCCTTGGAAGCCGAGGGCAGAACACCACATGGGGCCTCCTTATTCCAGCATCCACAGGCCCATTGTGGGCCTTCTTTTGTGCGAAACCCAGAGCACATTGCCCCTTTCACCTCTGCCTCTGGGCGGCCTTGATTATACCAGCAAAGGTTATACCAGCAAAGGTAGTGCTTCTTGCACTCCAGTTATTTTAGTCACCTGCACATGAATTGACTTATTTTGTGTGCAAGGGGCATTTATGGAATTTGTATGTTCCGTAGCATAGCTTGTCACGATGTTATTTATGTACGTGCGTTTTGTGTGGTTGCAGCAAGCAAACGAGCATCTAATTTATTTTCTGTTTGATTGCGCAGGTACGTCACTTGAGCGCATGCGTCAATTGACGGTGTGCCGGTCTGCATTACTGCACCTTGCTGCACCTACTTAAATATTAACGCAGGGATGTTGAGATCACATCGATCGCAAAAGACAGGGATTTTGAGATCGCATCGATCGAAAAACGCAAGCCTCGTGGCTTATATATTGCAGGCGCTGTATAAATATCGCGCCAATCAATATCTTATTTAATTTTCCCGGCAGTGTGTGCTGATTACCATCCAGCCCGGTTTGCATTGCTCTTCCTTTCCCAGCGGGATATGGGGACATAACAGAAAGCCATGTCTTGTTTGGTTAATATCATCATCATAATCAAGCAGCTGCAGTAGAAGCAGCGGCTGCCACGATCAATCCACTGCAGGATCAAGGCCTCCTTGTGCAGTGTTAGTCGTGGGGTGATGTTTGATCATACTTCCCCACGCTGATCAGTGCTGGTTGTTGACGGGGGGATCGTATATGTGGTGCATAATAGCACAGTACAAAAATATGTCTTGCTGCACTGCCCATCTCGTAGCCCTCCACCTATGACAACCTGCGTGTGCATGGTGGTCACCCATCCAAGCATTGTCCAAGCCCAGCCCTGCTGCGCTTCCGAGCTCTGACGAGATCGGGCGGTGGTTTGGCACGGCACACTTATGCATTAGATGTAGCCTTGGAGGAGGCGATGCACACCAGGGTACATCATGTACGCTTTCGCTAATGTTGTCATGATGCTCTCTCGGCACAAAGAATGGCCAGTGCTGCGGAGCATTGCCAACGGCACCGTAATAAGCTCTACACATCAAGGGATGCGTAGATTGATTTAAAAAAAAGAGTCGAACAATCCTGTGTGCAAGGCTTGGGCTGAGCAGTCTGGGAGAGAAATGACGTACACCCATGACGCCTTCCCCGGGGATAAAAATGTTGCGTGCGACGGTGATTCTGCGCGCGTCACCATACACGGGCTGACCTTCGCCAGTCTCAATGGAACAATATCATCATCATCGTTATCGTCGGCCATGATCTATATACTGCTAGAGGAAGGTCTTCCCGTGCCATTGCCATACCACGCAGTCACGCAATGCGATAGTCCGTCTGGCTCTTGCACACGAGTCATTCCATCGCTATGTCTCCGCGATGGACGTCTTCTTTGTGGCGTGTTCTCTCCCTTGGCTTCCGCTCTGCTGTTAGTCTCGAGTCACCGGCCGTCTTGTACACAAAATGCAACGGCTACACTGAGATTGTAGAAGAAGGCGACAAAATCAGAAGAGGAGCCGGATACGATATAGGCGACATTTGAAGATGTTTTCCAGCAGTTCATGTTGGGGCAGTAAAAGGGATGCATGTGAGTGCTGCACTTGTTAACTATCTCATGATTAACTGTGACATCTCCTTCACCACGACCAATGAAAATTGCAAGCAGTTGTTGAAGAATTTGACACGTAGGTTT